ATTGGGTTTTGAGGAATGTATCAGTAGAAATTTATTAAAACATGTACACAGACAAAAAAGTTTTACTAGTCATCAATCTCTTCAACTTCGAGATCTTCACTATCACTTTCGACCAATAATATATCATCATTTAAATTTTCATATTCTTTGGCCCTATCAAGCGATCTTTTCCAAAACCCAAGAATTACACGAAGAAGCTGTCCTTTTGAGAGTATATAGCCATGCTCTTCTAGTTTTTGTTGTAATAAATGTGTTGATAGTGGGGAACCAGAAGTGTTTGCAGTCATAACAAACCTGTGTATGAGATCAACAACATTGTGATTGGGGCTTTTCCTTGGATGCCCTTGCATTCTTCACTCTGAACGCTCTGAGAATTTTTCATTTTTACTGCTATTATGTTCAGCAACCACTTGCGCAAGGGTTGCCTTGCCAATTCTGAGGACTGAAGCAACCTCCTTGCATAGTGGTAAGTCTGGGTGTTGTGTCTGGCACTGTTGAGTATTTAAAAAGTATTGATGAACACGAATAATCATTCGTTTTTTGTTATTGGTTAAAGAACTTCGCTCTCTATCTAGGTCTTCCATGGGAAAGATAAATGATCAATTTTGTTACAAATATTTGAAGTTTGACATTTTCATTTGATTTGTATACTCAAATGATTCGATTAGCAACTTTTGTACATGTGACGAATTTCAGGTGACAAATTTCATGTATCAACTTTTTTGTGCCAGACCATATTTCTATTTAGTTTCTTGGATCACCTGTGTAGTAAGGTGCAAATGCCAAGTTGAATCTGTGTTGTTCTTATCAAAGGAGCTTAGAGACAATTGGATAAACATGTGTCCAAGCATGAAATCAAACTGCAGATAGCACACAGAACTTCCAATGTCTGACCATCTTAGAAACATTAACATGTTCAAAAGGCTTTGCAGTAATCTATATGAGAGCCATAGTCAAGTGTCTGGACATAGTTCCTTGTCTCCTTCAGAAATTCATTTTGTCAAATTTCACAAAAGCATACAAGTGAATCACCAATCTTGTTTTCAGACATATAGCTGCCATCTGATTTCATTATGTGGTTATGGAGATGGAACACAGTTAACAACCTTCACCTTTAATGCAATAATTGGTTTCCCTAGGAAAGGATGCAGTCCCAGCAGCCTGTCAAAAACATCCTTGGATAGTGGACCAACAAATTCAATCCAACTTTGCATGCTATTTCTCAAGTACATCCTCTCAAACTTTGCATGTGCCATGCCAGACAAGACCACATGTGTTCCTGCAGCACTCTCCACCCAAAAGGTAAGGGTCATCAGGGGGTCCAAGATAGGAAGCCAAGCAGGTGCAGGAGGATCTTTGTTAAATAGCATGCCATGCTCATTGATGACTAGGAGAGTTTTGTGGTCTGTTTGTTGGAGCAGATCACCAAAGGTAGTTGTGGTACAAAACACTATGAGAGGCTTTGAATTATCCTCAGCCTGTACAAGTTCCTTGAACTCAGCAGCAGTTAAAATTTCTTTGTTGATTGCCAAAAAGCAGTTGCAAATCTCTATTGATGACTAGTAAAACTTTTTTGTCTGTGTACATGTTTTAATAAATTTCTACTGATACATTCCTCAAAACCCAAT